TGACCGATGAATAAACTGTGACCTATAATTTTTTTGAATTGTGAAAGTAAAATGATTTTAGACATATAAACATTTTGATTTGTGATCGAAAAATAATTTGTGACTAATTAAATAGTTAATTTGTGACTTTAATATATTTAATTAATTAATTAAATCATAAATAAATTTTAGTAAAAACTTGATTTTTGAAATTTAAAACCTCTATTCTTAATTTTGAAATGGGTGATACTTAATCTCTTATGAAATTTTCCCATAATAATAAGTTGCATAAAAATTTATGGAAGTGTATTCATTTGGGACTTTTGAAGATTTTTTAGTATTTAAAAATTTCAAGTGTATTCAGTTGAGACTTTTTAAAAGTTAGGTGTATTCAATTGAGATTTCTATATGCTTTTAAAAAGTGTCTAAGAGTCGGGAGTATTCTATTGAAACTTTTTAAAAGTCTTTATAAGTGATGATATATTCAGGTAGACATTGACTTTTGGAGAGACTTCTGAAGCCTTTTTGGTGAAAAATTTAAATAGAAAGTTTCAAAGAAAATTTCTATATACTTTGTGATTTGAGATTTGTGAAGATTTCAAAGTAAAAAAAAAACTATCTTTTTCTTTCAATTCTAGGATTTTTCCATCTCTTTAGTTCATTTATTTTAATCAAATTCTGATTATTCTATATGTATATAATTACTTTTGAATTGAAATTATATGCAATTGTTTCAAAATGTAGAGTTCATGTAATCGATCTATTCTTTTTAGTTAAGAACAATTTATGTTCTTAGAATTTATATTAATTTTATAAAATAAAAAATTTTGTTATGTTCTTAGGAATTGATGTAAATATATTTTTTTTAATTTTATTTGCGCCAAAATTGAATAACTGGAGAGTGAATTGTTTCAAAAATCACTGAATTTATATCATCGTCACGGACTGCTCACCGAACTTCATTAGATTTCACAGTACTCACTCAACTTTGCCATTTACCTCTTCTCCACCATTGTCAAAAAATCCATTTGTTGGGCGCTGACGTGGCGGACGGAATCCTAAGTGGCGTCTGACGATCGTTAAAAAATTACAAATCGGCAAAATTATTGTTTCATCACTCATCCAACTTGCACTATGTCACAATTTACTCATTGAACTTCAAAATGCTTCTCAATGGTCACTCATCTTTAAGAATTGCACTGCATACATTATTCGTCATATTTTATTCACTTCGTTGCTAATTTATTGTTCGAAAATTTCACGGGTAATTAAAATCAGCAAAAAAATTATAACTCAACGAAACCATCAACACATAGAAATCACCATATGATCAATTGAATACAATTAGAATTAAAATTGGTGAAATATAGACAAAATATTTTCACAAATCAAGTTAAGTTTCCGATTTTCAGTTTTAGATTGAAACCTATTTTTCATATAATAAACGTTCGAATTATAAAAGTGATATTTCTAAAGAATAATCGATGAAGCTTTATTGGAATTTAAAAAAGTTTATGAGGCCATGGAAGTCATATTTCACACATTGTGATTTTAATAAATTGATAGTTTTATTGAGTTGTGATTTTTCTAACATTTGTAACTTATTATGTGGATTTTCTATGCGACCATTAGCAACGAAGTGAGCGAAATATGACGGATAATGGATGGAGTACAATATCTCAAAGATAAGTGACCATTGAGAAGTATTTTGAAGTTTGATGAGTAAACTGTGACCTAGAGTAAGTTGGATGAGTGATGAAACAATGTTTTTACTGATTTGTAATTTTTTAATGGCTGTCGACGCCACCTAGGAATTCCGTCCGCCACGTCAGCGTCCAACAAACGGATTTTTTGAAAGTGGTGGATGGAGAGATAAATGGCAAAGTTGAGTGAGTACTGTGAAGCAGAATGAAGTTCGGTGAGCAGTTCGTGACGATGGTATAAGTTCAATGATTTTTGAAACAATTCACTCAATAACTAGGCCATGACTAGTGACTTTACCCGACAAAATTTTGTGGGATAATGAATTTGTAAAATGAAAAGTCTTTAAAAATCTTCAATCAAGTCTGTAGGAGTCAGAAAACTTTAATAAATTCTCAACAAATCCATAGAAGTCACTTAAAATTTCATAAAATCAACAAAAG